GCACACTGGCCAGGGCTGTGATGAGCTTTTAATGGTATCTAGATAAATAAGGTGTACTGTGTGATCATCTAAATAGCCAAGAACTAAGAAGTATGTAAAAATAAGGCTTGTAAGCAATGCAAATAATTGTAGCTAAGTTCAAGTACTAAAGAAGAGTATTCCAACCTAAACTCTATGGGGTCCCCTGGTTTCCTGACCACAGAGCAGAGCAGATGCAGGAAGTTGGAAGTAGAGCAGATTACCAAAAGGTGAGAACAAGTGGCCACTTCTTACCTACAGTAATGGAGAGAAAGAAAAGGTATAAAAAGCAGTACCTCACAGCTCAACATTTTGGAAGTCATTATTTCACGGTATAAGAACTGCCGTTCGTAATCATGACTGAATCAACAAGAAAAACAACTATATATAATAATACCTATCAAAAAAAACTTTTCAAATGTAGTGGGATTTATATTCTAAACTCTCAAGAATTTAGTTTCAGTATTAGGATAATTCACCTTGTGGAACATCTTGTTCTGGAGAACTGTGTCTATGACGGGAAAATAAATACTAGCTTAGCAGTGAAGGCCTTTGTCAGAAACATGTGCTAATTATGCATCTCTTCGGTAAAGCATAACAAAATACTCTTGCATATCTAGACCAATTTCCAGGAAAAACTGTTATTAAATGAATATAAAAGTAAAAGTTATCTTTTTCAAAATATTCTATTAATAAAAATATTAGAGCCAGCAAGAGGTAACAGAGTGGGAATTAGGACTATAACTAGATTAAAATGGGAGAACCCAAAAGATCAGATGAAATAGGAGAAAAAGAGAAAAAGCTTCAGAAAGCAATAGAAAAAAATGAAATGGGGGAAAGTAAGAAGAGACCAGAGTCTTTGGAAAGGCAAGTGGGTGAGTTTTGCAATCGGGAAGGCTGACATAGGTCTCGGGGAAGAAAAAAGAGGTATGGCATGTGCCAAACTACAGGGCTGGGCCAAAGCTTTTATTGCTCAAAAATGTTGAAAACAAGACTATAATGAAGCTTTAAAAAAAAAAAATCTGTTAGGTAGAGGATATTAGAACATAATACAGCTGTTTCCTCACTATGTCTAATGTAGTTATACTCAATTTTGAACAACAAAAAAGGTTTTCTTGGTATTCAAGTTACAGATAACTAGTGAAAATCTAGGCTTTCTTCTTATCTAGCTGCAGTTGTCTGTTTATGTATGATCCACCATTTCTAAAAAGGACTCTGAACAACTTAATTTAGGACTCCATTCCTCCAAAGAAATGTACTTTTTTGTTTTGTTTTTAAGTCCCACCTCGTGAGTGAGCTGCTACTCTCTTCCTCCTAACCTTGTTATTTTTCTTCCCTGGCACTTCTGTTTGCATCCTTGGTGGTGCTTCTCCAATCTAATGCTTTTAGGGACAAGAAGTGACAGCACTACACTGACCAGTTTGGCTCAGTGGATAAAGCGTCAGCCAGTGGACTAAAGGGTCCCAGGTTCAATTCCAGTCAAGGGCACATGCCTGGGTTGCACGATCAGTCCCCAGTGGAGGGCATGCAGGAGGCAGCCAATCAATGATTCTCTCACATCATTGATGTTTCTATCTCTCTCCCTTCCTCTCTAAAATCAATAAAGATACCTTTAATATATTTTTATTTATTTTTCACAGAGAGAAAGGGAGAGGGATAGAAAGCTAAAAACATCAATGAGAGAGAACCATTGATCAGCTACCCCCCACTGGGGATGTGCCCTCAACTAAGGTACATGCCCTTGACCGGAATCAAACTTGGGACCTTTCAGTCCGCAGGCCAATGCTCTATCCACTAAGCCAAACCGGTTTCAGCAATAAAGATAGCTTTAAAAATATTTTTAAAAAAAGAAGTGGCAGCGCCAAAGTGCCACAGTACAGCATTATGGCTTACTACTGAGGTGTGCTTTCCAATTTTCCAAGCTTACCGTAGTCGAATTAAACCTTACAGAATGAGTCCCATGAGCCTCAAATTCTCACTGAGAATAATGCATTCACCAAAAATAATACATAAGTATGTTCACTTTCATTAAATTTAGACTCCCATACTCCCAGGCGAAGATAATATAACACCCACTATTCCCGCCCTAACTGAACCTTATACTTAATGTCCAATGCACCCACTTTTTCTGGATAAGAAACTTTCATAACTTTCAGCTAGATGTCTTCTTTCTCTAAAATCAGTTCATGTCTCTCCCTATAACAAACCACCCGCTAACCTCAGTTGTTCTTGACCAGTTTTCTGCCCTATCAAATCTGAAGAAACCAACATACTTTTTCTACCTGTATTCACTGTTCATCAACGATAATAAACAATAAGGTTTGGAAGGTGTATCTGAAAAAATTACAGTGACATATGATACAAGTAGGCTCCATCTGACTGGGACTTGCTTTAACAACCGGATTTCTGTAAATAATGAGGATATAAAAGCCATAGCAGAAATGAGACAACATAGCAAATTTCCTCATTATACAGTTTTTACCTACAAAAAGACGTAGAGATCTAAGGATCTCTCAGAAGTTCCCTACCCAACCCAAACCTGGGTAGCCATAAACAAAGAATTCACAGTATTATCACTGAGTTCTCTGGCGGTTGGCAGAACTCAAAAAAAGTTTTTTTCTCAATCTTTTTGGACAGTTTGCTGAATTGTTCAAAGTAATAAAATATTCACCCTAACTTTGAGGTGCTCAGCTAGTAGCATGGGCAAAAGAGTGATGATACGTACTGAAGGTGCCTTTCAGAATGGCCATGAAACTGAGGCCACTATTCCCAGTGGGGCAAGGCGATCGGAGTAGAGCTGCAAGAAGCTTGTGGGCCTGGGGACCTGGGACCTGAGAGCAGCAGCAGGAGCTAAGAATCTTGTAGGGGGAAAGTTACTCAAATTATCATTGCCCACTGGGCACAGTGCAACTTGCCTGACAGCTTTTTCTCCAATAAGTGCATAAGCAGTTGGGTAGGATTCTAAGTGAAGACTTTTAGATACAGTTAAGTAGCTGCAAGGAACCTTCAGCTTGAAGGTCTTTATGGACGCTGGATGTACTCTAGCACAAGTTTTGTGTTTCTCTAAGCTGTGGAGGTAGCACACATTCTGCTTCCTGACACAAGCAGCTAAAAAGTATGAAGGGAATCCCTACTAGTAATTGCATACTTAGGACTTGAATATGAAGAATGAAATACTCCACAGAATATTTAGGCTTGTATTTTAAAGAACTGCAAAGACCATAAACATGTAATAGGGTATTCTAGATATACCACAGATTCAAACTCATAGAATACTGATAGGCGAGGGAAGGAAACACACAACAGCTGACTTCTGAAACATGGAAAATAAAAGTAGCTGATAAAGAAACAGTGGGAAAAGGAAATTATTCAAGATTTTCCTGTATTATCTATGCATTCAAAAAAATTAAATGGGCCAAAACCGGTTTGGCTCAGTGGGCAGGTGTCTTCAAACTACGGCCCGAGGGCCACATGCGGCCCGCAGAAGAGTCTGATCTGGCTCGCCATGTTTTTTGGGCAGTGAGCGCAGCCGAGGTGTTACAGTAGGAATTAGTAGTTCATATAGACCGGCCCTCCAGCTCTCTAAGGGACCGTGATCTGGCCCCCACTTTAAAAAGTTTGAGGACCCCTGGATAGAGCGTCACCCTGCAGACTGAAAGGTCCCGGTTCGATTCCAGTCAAGGGTATGTACCTGAGTTGCGGGCACATCCCCAGTAGGGGGTGTGCAAGAGGCAGCTGATCAATGATTCTCTCCCATTGATGTTTCTAACTCTCTATCCTTCTCCTTTCCTGTGAAAAATCAATAAAATATATATTAAAAAATTAAAAAAATTAAATGGTCCAGCCAGTGTTGCTCAGTGGTTGAGCGTAGCCCTATGACACAGGAGGATTCCAGTCTGGGCACATGCCCGGGTTGTAGGCTTAATCTCCAGGAGGGGCGCGCAGGAGATAGTTTCTATCTATCCCTTCCCCTTCCCCTCTCTAATCAACACACACACACACACACACACACACACACACACTTTTTAATTTTTTTAAACTACAAATTGTAGCTTCAAAGTGAACACCTAGAGGAGTTAGAAGGGGGCACACTCAGAGTAGGCAGGGGTGCGTGCAGGAGGCAACCAGTTGATTTGCTCTCCCACATCGAAGTTTCTGTCTCTCTTTCTTTCTCCCTCCCTTCCTCCCATCACTCTCAGAAAAGCAATGGGAAAAATATCCTCAGGTGAGAATTAACACACAAAAAGACCAAAGCCCAGGCAGAGTGGCTCAGTGGTTAAGCATCAGCCTATAAACTAGGAGGTCATGGCTCTATTCCTGGTCATTGATGTTTCTATCTCTCTCGCTTCCTTCCTCTCTGAAACCAATAAAAAAAATATTTTTAAAAGAAATTAAAAAAAGAAAGCTTCTTGTCTTGCGAAAGTATTTTCCACTAAAATACGGCACTCTCTACAGAAATTTCTTTTCTAACACAAAAGTGGAATTAAAAGACGAGGAAAATACCCACACAAAGTGAAAGAGATGATGACTAATGTTGTGCCCTTTCTTCTGCAGTAGGCTGAAAACAGAAGACTTGTAGATCTTAAGTTGGAGGTCTCAGTTTAAGAAAAAGAGGCCATGCCTGGCTGATTGGGCTCAGTGGATACAGTATTGGCCTGTGGACTGAAGGGCTCTAGATTCAATTCCAGTCGAGGGCACGTATCTCGGTTGCAGGCTTGATCCCAGCCCGATGGGCGTGTGTGGGAAGCAACCAATTGATATCTTTCATACCCATGTTTCTTTCTCTCTTGTCTCTCCCCCTCCCTTCCACTCTCTCTAAAAATCAATGGAAAAAATATCCTTGGGTGAAGATTAACAAAAATATAATCAAATAAATATGAAATCAAATCTATAGTTTAAAAGAAAAAGAGGCCATCAGAGTCAACAACACACGGACCCTTATATACCTGTCAGTCACAGTGGCCTAGTCCCGCCACACCCACCTCATCACCACTGTCCGACGTCTCAGAGTCTGAGGAGGCTGCAGGCTGACTCACAGGCGGCTCCTTCTCCTCAGAGTCACTGCGCTTCCGCTTTGCCAGGGACAAGAGCTCCTAATAGGGCAGAAGTAATCACATGAGTCTTATTCAACAGAAAAGAAATGTCCAATAATAACAAAATGCCCCTCCTATACCTCTTCTACCTCTTGTGCTTTCAACTGAAGGACATCATCATGGGAACTTTTATCACATGAACACAACTGCTAGTATTCCTAAGTGCTACTAGTAAAATAAATGTTTTCAAATTCTCTCCTACCTCTTAATGGCAAAATATACGTCTGAAATGCAAAAGTGAATATAAAACTGACCTGAAGGCTACTTCCAAATTGTTACCATTTTCTTTATAAACTACAGAAGTACCGATCATCAGGTATTTATATAAAAATCACGATTACAAAGGTAATTTGCTCACTGTTCTTAATGGTATAGCTGATACTCTGAGCATCTTCTTACTGTAATTCATAGTAAAATTGGCATTTGTGGGTTAATTTGAATAAGCTGACAAATTACAAGTTTCTGAGGACATTTTTAAAATTTTTGAATGCATAAGCAAGAAAAAAAAGTTTTTTTACAGTGATTAATCCAGGCTCTGACAACAAGCCACCAATGTGCTGGCCACAACATTAGAACTCTAATTTGATAACCCCGATATTCCATTCATTACCTCTGCCTTCTCCTGGTGATTTAAGAGAGACTAGAGGGGGAGGATGTGCCATTTGGTAAGTTGTGGCTACAACCAGGTTTGCTCTCTCACAGGGTTCCCTCTGCCGCTACTCCTGCCCACCTCAGCCTGGGGCCTTAAAAAGGCACCAAAAGGTTTCTTGCTCTGGTTTTTGTTCTCTGCTAATAGTATCAATACCAGCCCACAATTACACTGTACTTAGATGCCTGGTACTTTTCTAACTATCTAACATTTAATCTTCACAACAACCTTAAGGTAACTATCATTATCATTCCCATTTTTTTCTTTTTAAAAAAATACATTTTATTGATTCTGTACAGGGAGGAAGGGAGAGAGATAGAGAGTTGGAAATGTTGATGAGAGAGAGTCATCGATCAGCTGCCTCTTGCACACCCCCTACAGGGGATGTGCCCGCAACCAAGGTACATGCCCTTGACCGGAATCGAACCCGGGACTTTTCAGTCCCCAAGCCGACGCTCTATCCATTGAGCCAAACTGGGTTCGGCCATTCCCGTTTTTTTCTTGCCAACTATTTATCCATTTGTTTTTTATGTAATCCTTCCCATTTAAAGATAAGAATAAAGAGCAGGAGAGGTTAAGTAATTTACCCAAGGTAACACAGCTAGTACATGATAAAGTCAGAATTCAAACCAGGTAGATAGAATCCTAATTCAGGCATGTTTACTAGTATAAAACCTTTTTCTCTGTTTTGCTAAAAGGAGAAAAATACAACTAATAAATACGAGTAATATCATTCCTTGATGTTAATGGTACGATACAATTACAACTCAAGTGCCAAGACAAATTTTAAAATAATAGACTGCTACAAAGTATGTTTTCTTCTTCCAGTTTCTTTCTATTTTAGGAATATACCCTCCTTGGCCAGAATGAGAAAATGACCTTCTCAGATTAACAGCTGACATGCTCTCTTTCATAAGCAGTCATGAAATGTTACTCTTCTCATTTCATTAGAGGGAGCTAGCACACCAACTTCCTGAAAACAATGAAGCTCATAAGAACACTTTACTTTTTCATACCAAAACGATTAACTCCTATTGACCAAATGCAAATCACAACAATATTTGTGTTTACCATATTTTTTTAAATTGAGGCGCAATTTTATCCTTCCTTAAGTACAGTTCTGAATTTGACAAATAGTTTAAATTCCCACAATAAAGGCATATGATAGTACCATCATCAGCCCAAATATTGGTATTCTTCATATACTTCCCCAGAAAATTATTGTCTGTCCCTAAGTCTGCCTATCACAGAATATCATATAAATGAAATCATATAATATGTAGCCTTTGAATTTGGGTTATCAAATTAGGGTTCAGCCGAAACCGGTTTGGCTCAGTGGATAGAGCGTCAGCCTGTGGACTCAAGGGTTCTGGGTTCGATTCCGGTCAAGGGCGTGTACCTTGGTTGCAGGCACATCCCCAGTGGGGGGTGTGCAGGAGGCAGCTGATGGATGTTTCTCTCTCATCCATGTTTCTAACTCTCTATCCCTCTCCCTTCCTCTCTGTAAACAATCAATAAAATATATATTAAAAAATAAAAATAAAAAAAACACAACTTAAAAAAAAATTAGGGTTCAACAGCACATTGGTGGCTTATTGTCAGCCCTGGATTAACCATTGAAAAGAAGCCATAAGGCTTCTTAGCATAATGCATTTGAGATTCATTCATGTTGCAGCATATATCAGTTTATTCTTATTTATTGTAAGTAGTATTCTATTAAATAAATGTAGCACACTTTGTTTATCCATTTACCAGTTGAAAAACATTTGGGTTGTTTCCATTGTAGAGCAATTAAATGTTCATGTACAGGTTTTTGTGTAAACATTAAATTTTTAGGAGAAACCAAGGTGGTAGCATAGGTAAACACCTAAACTACTGTCTCGCACAACAATTCAAAACTACAACTAAAAGATAAAACGGACATCATTCAGAACCATAGGAAGGCTGGCTGAGTGGAAATTCTACAACTAGAAGGAAAGAGAAAAGCACGCTGAGACTCAGAGGAGCTGCAGGAGGCAGAGGTACTGAGACGCGAGCAAGGAAAGGACTGGCAACTGAGTGTGTGGCTGGCTTTATCAAGCGGGAGGGAGACGAAAGCTCCCGACTGCACTGAACTCCAGTTCCGGGTGAGACTCTAGGAACCCTGATTCATACGGGGTGAAACTGGACTGTCAGGAAAGAGAAAAGCACACTGAGACTCAGAGGAGCTGCGGGAGGCAGAGGTACTGAGGTATGTGTGCAGAGAGGGCAGGCAACTAAGTATGTGGCTAGCTTTCTCAAGTGAGGAGATAAAAGCTTCTGATTGCATTGAACTCCAGATCCAGGTGAGACTCTGGGGACCCAGACTCATTCGAGGAGAAACTGGACTGTCTGGCATCGGGTGGAACTCGATGGTGGCTTTCTCTCAGAGTTACATGCAGCGATTACCATGGGACACTGAGACATAGGGGCCTATTAGGGCAGGACTGACAGGAAACCAAAGCTGTCTGCTCTGCCCTGAGACTCCACCCATTCAAGCTGAGCACAGAGGCTTTTGCAAGTCTTCTCCCATAACGGTGTCTCCAGCACAGAAGTTCTCCCAGCATAGACACAGCTGGTCCTCACAGCCAACTGGCCTCGAGGTCAATTCCTCCCAGTGATACCAACAATAATCAAGGCTTAACTACAACAAGACTGTACTCACAGCCCACAAAGGGGTGCACCAAGAGTGTCCACCTCAGGTAACTGGAGAGACTGAGCCACTGGGCCCTATAAGACACCTAGCACACAAAGCCACTCTATCAACTCAGGGAAGCAGCCAAAATGCAAAGACAAAAAAGAGATCACAAACTAAAGAAATGGAGGAAAGCAAATGACTGGATATAGAGTTCAAAATTACGGTTATAAGTTTTTTCAAGAATTTCCTAGAAAAGGCTAATACATTTAGCGAGACCCTCGAGTATATGAAAAAGGACCAACTAGAAATTAAACATACACTGACTGAAATATAAAAAAATATTATACAGAGATGCAACAGCAAACTAGAGGATTTCAAGAATCAAGTCAAAGATTTGAAATATGAAGAACCAACCGGAAAAGAAAAAAGAATCCAAAAATATGAAGACAATGTAAGGAGCCTCTGGGACAACTTCAAGCATACCAACATTAGAATTATTGGGGTGCCAGAAGAAGAGAGAGAGCAAGATACTGAAAACCTACTTGAAGAAATAATAACAGAAAACTTCTCCCATCTGGTGAAAGAAATAGACTTACAAGTCCATGGAAGCACACAGAACCCCAAACAAAAGGAATTCAAAGAGGACTACACCAAGACACATCATGATTAAAATGCCAAAAGCAATAGACACAGAGAGAATATTAAAAGCTCCCTACAAGGGAGCACCTATACAGAAACTATGCAGGACAGACAGGAGTGGCAAGAAATATTCAAAGTGATGAATAGCAAGAACCTATAACTGAGATTACTCTACCCAGCAAAGCTATCATTCAGAATTGAAAGTCAGATAAAGAGCTTCACAGATAAGAAAAGACTACAGGAGTTCATCACTGCCAAACCAGGCTTATAAGAAATGCTGAAAGGTATTATTTAAAAAGAGGAAGAAGAAGAAAAGGTAAAGATCCAAGATGGCTGCGCCCAGGTGAACACCTAGCCGCAGCCGCACACAACAATTTCAATAAAATACAACTAAAATATAAAACGGACATTGCCCAGAACTACAGGAAGGTTGACTGACTGGAAATTCTACAGTGAGAAGCAAGGAGAAAACCAGAAGGAGGTGCGGAGGAGCTGGAAAAGCCAAGGTACGGAGACGCGGAGACGCGGTGCGCAGAGAGGACAGAGCCGGAGAGGAGGAAGGCCGAGTGCCTGGCGGGCGTTCCCTAGCGGAAAGGAGATAAAGCTCCGACTGTGCTGGGCCCCCGACTGCTCTGATCCCCAGTTTTAAGCCAGACCCCGGGGACTCAGGCTCAGCCATAGGGAGCCGGGCTGTAAGGCGGAACCCCGGGGAAGTGGCGAAAGGAGGTCCCAGCGGTGCGCACACTGCGCGCAGAGAAGGGACATTCGGCTGTGCCGCGGGCTTGCCCTGACGGGAAGGAGACTGGGGCTCCAGACTGCTCTGAACGCCACCTCCAACTCCACTTCCAACTGAACTGAACCCCAATACCGGGCTCATTGTGGGAGAGCATAGACTGTTTGGCAGCAGGCGAAAATCGAGGGCACCTTTCTCTCAGAGGCGCCGGCAGTGAGCTCTGAAGGACCCGCATAGGGCGGGGCTGACGGAAGCCAAAGCTGCAGGCTCCACCCTGAAACCCCGTCCCATCTGTAACTGCGAAATGCGACAACAAAATAGAT